TATATATTAAAAAGACAGTTTATTGTTAAGTTACTAGTTATGTCTTGTTATGGTCATGTCATTACTAAAAGATTGAATATAGAAAATAACTACACACTAATGAGAAACCAAAACTTGGTTCTGTCACCCAATTGTTGATGTCGTGTTTATTCTGGTTGTTCTTATGTTTGTCCAGTTTCCAGACCAACACAAGCGAGTGTCTGCAAAGTCCAACCCTGGATTTCTGGAGCGTTTAAGTGAAACTACAGGAGGAACAGTTGTTGGTGTGGGACTGTTTTTCCTCTCGATTTATGTTCTCTTCACCAATGAGGTAGGAAACATTTCCTTCTAAGTAGCTCAGATCATCATGGTCACGATGATTTAACAGTAGACTAAAGACAGCACTTTGTATCTGTGATGGTTTCTTTGTGCAGGGACGGACTCTGCAAACAGCAAAGTCCCTGGATGAAGGTCTCTCCCAGGTTGTATCACTGGGGCCGTATATCAGCTTCGACACACAAAACAACGGCCGTTTAGTTCACCTGTCTGCGAAGCTGCATACTGCAGAGGTGAGCTCGCCTGTATTTTGAACATTGGTCTGCCGTAGCGTGTATGTGTCGGTGTCCCTTATTTGCATATTTTTTATTACGTTTTAGCTTTTTTTTTTAATTGAGTTCAGTTTCTGTTAGTTTACAGAGCAGTTCAAAGGTTCTATATTAGTTTCAGTCTTTTAATTATTAAGATATGGAGGATATTTGTCTGGAGCCTTTAACCTGACTGTCACAGATTTGCATGACAAAATTCCAGGTGGAGATGCACTTCAAAACTTGTGCCTTCTGTATAGTTTTAGAGTCCCCTACCCCTAAAATTATGGTTTCTGCAGGCCTCCGAAACTGTGCTCAGATATCGAACATCCAGATATTTTAAGAACTTCCATCATTCTGCATTTGCTTGAGCTACACACTTATCACTTCCTGATAAGAAGTGTTTTTTTTAATCTTTTCATTTAATGAATTAAAATCAGTGCAGGGATTACACAAACACAACTCTTTGTTGACTCACGGTAATGTCATCCAGAGTCTAGCTCAACATGTGTATTCATGCCCCATCAGGCACTCTGTGATAACAGAATTTTACCAAACTGACAAGTAGACTTAAAATAAAGGACAACTCTGGAAGATGTTTTATTTTTTATTTTAGTTGGCTTTAGTTTTTTTCCAAGTCTAGTTTTCATTGTCATTTCAGTTAACTATTTGTTCCCTACAGCTCATCTTAAATATTTGTTTAAATATGTGATAGAAACCTAATAACCTTTGTATGTACATTTGGTAAAAGAACATCCATCCATTGATCCATTACAGAGAACTGAGCAATGTTGGGGGAATCGGGTCGGGACATACTCCTTTCAGTTTAGGTGAGGAATCAGCTCAGGCGGACGACCGCTCGCTTGCTCTGAACTCTGTGACCGATTACGTATGTTTTTCTCGCATGGATGGAATTGGACATCACACAGACTTTGTTCCATGGGGCTGGCAGGTTAAAGAGTTTCTGCTCTGGCTGTTTGCCTTCTCACGTGCATCTCTGTCGGGTGATGTCTAAAAAGTTCAGGGCTGCCTTAGTTAGTTTGTTTAGATAAACAGGCGGTGGTGCCTGTTATCTGGCTGTGTTTACCCTCATATCTTTGCAGAGGAGGACAAAAGAAGGTAATGTTGAGAGAGACTCAGACAGTGAGAAATAGTGTTGTATTTATCTATGTTAAATTAATACACAACCTCAGGAGTTGTACAACATGTAAATATCTTTGCTAGTATTTGATTCCATTTTTTGTGGACATAAATGTGCCACCAGTTGGCTTCCTTGTTTTGATTCTAATGTTTTATTTTTTAATCTGTATACTGAAGCTTCATATAGTTTCACTTGAATTCTTTCGTTTGTGTTTATAGTAATGCATTATTGTACTAATTACATTGTCAGACTTTGACATTGTCATGTTTAATAATCCAGCATTAAGAATTTTGTAAATTGATGTGTAAATTTTGATGTGTCTCTGCAGCCCCTGTATGACCCCAACTACAAAGTGGTGGTGCATGCAGTGAAGCTGAAGCGGCAGGTGGAGATGTATCAGTGGGTGGAGTACCATGAGAGCAGGTAAGGCTGTTGTCAGCACTCAGGGTGGGACTGGGTGTGGACATGTTGGCTAGAATGCAGCTGACTGTACGTTTTAATTCAGGGATTACCAGGAGAATGGTGAAACCAAAACAGAAACTACATACACCTACAGTGAGTTTCTTTTTTGCAGTCTGTAATCTTTGGTAACAGCACAGCCTGTGTATAGAGGTTATAACTCCTTTTTTGTAGACACTGAGTGGAAGTCAGAGTTGGTGAACAGTCGTAATTTTGATAAGGAGATTGGTCACCAGAACCCGAGGTACTAAAGCATATTTAATATGGTCATCTTGTGTTTGTGTGTGCATCCAGTCCATGCTCACTTCAGTCTTTGTGTTTCAGTGCCATGGCTGTTGAGAGTGTGATGGTGGTGTCTCCTGAAGTCCGAACTGGGCCATTCATTCTGTCTAAAGGTTTGTGTCTAAGCAAACACACAGCCACTACACATATGCTGTGTTTCATGTGTTTGGATTTTAGTACTCGGTTAATTTCCTGGTTATCATCAGGCCTGGTGGAGCAGATAAATAACTTCCAGACACTGAGTTTGAGGGATTTTCCTGTCTTTAACTTGGACCCCTTTCTCTCTATTCATGATGACTACTTCTATCACACTCCAAATCCACGCAGGCCAGAGGTGAGCATCTAGTCGTGAGCGCCTCGCAAATAATCTCAGTGTTGCGTTTCGTTATGTGATATGCGTTCCACACTTGTTGACTTTGAATTTGTTTGAATTCATGAGGTGGGTGACGTGCGGGTGAGGTTCTCCTTCGCTGGACTGAGCAGTGAGAACTCACGCCACGGCCCTGCTCAGACGGTACAAGCTACAAATGACCCATCAACACATTCTCTGCCTACATTTCCACTGGGTCTTGACTGTAGTCTGTTTATAGGAGACTGATGTACCTTCAGGATCTGAAAAGTGAATTCAGTGCCTTAAACCTGCATTCTTTCTGATAGTCACCAGGGGGAGACTCCTGGTTAAAAACAAAGTCTGATTGTGTAGATGTTTATGGAAAAGTGACCCTACTTTTCATTTCACTGTTACCCAGTAAACATTTTCCTTATACGTTTATGGTCTCAGTTGCTAGCATCAAATCTTCAGTAGAACATAATAGTCATGAGCATGCAATATTCTCAGTAAACTCTAACCCTTATTACTGAGGTTGACCTCACTACAGCTATGTCCATCTTTTATGTACTGTCTGTGGTCACAACCTACATGATGTTCTTATGTTGCTATTTATAACATTCAATAATAAAATATTTTCTCATTAACTTTCATAAAAATCAATTTAAGTAGTGTTTTAAATGATTATTAATACAAATAGAATTTGGATAGTCAAATATA